GATTTCCGAGGACTTAATCACTCCTATTGATGACGAAAATGAAATTGAACCGATGTATTTTCATATAAATTACTTATACTTATGTTTCAAAATGTACTAATTACTTTTGTATTTTATGAATATTAAAATAAAAAATACTTAAATCAAACCTTTATATTAAATATGTTCATGGTATAAATTATTATTATATACGTAATTTATTCAACAATTTTAGTAAATCACTGTCCTTTCAAAACATCACTTCAGTAAAATACGTCGGACAAAATTAATATATGTCAGTCATTTTTCTAAACTATTTATTTTGAAAGTGGCTTAAGTCACTTTACCGTAATGAAAAGTGGTGATTTTGTAATGTTTATACGAAATTATTTATACTGAGAAAAATATCAGTATCCTGAGATAACAAATACAAGTAAATCTTCTCGAAAGTTAGCATCCATATTTTTAAACGTGTTAAAACGCAAATCCTTAAATATATCGACTTCAAAACAAAATGACTTATGCCACTTTCAAAATAAACGGCTCATATGTAGTTTCTCGATTCTACGTCGCTCGATATTTTACGATCGATTGCAGAGTCCTTTTCTCATAAACAAAGGTTGGTGGAGAAACTATTTGCTGAAATAGCATTTGATAGCGTAGGTAATATACGAGTATCGATAAATATATTTAAAATAACAATGTATAATTACAACATTCATCTTTTAAAAATAACTCCAAGTGTTCCAAGTTCTCTGTTATTCTCATTTTAAAAGATCTTCACGAGCGTCCATTTTGTAACTGATTTAATGAATTATCTTAAAGTCGTCATTTATCTCAGAATTTATGATCGCGTTTTAGCCATATCTCGACATGATCTTGAATTTTCTTTTAAACTCAAGTTCAATGGGAATCTATTTTAAAATAATCCACAGAATCGTTTTGAAGTCACGTTATTATTTTTGTAATTTGTAATTGCATTTCATCAATTTTTCGACATGATTTTTATCGGAAGCCTTTCAAAGCCTGCTAACAGATGAGTCTGCTCAGAATTCTTAGATGTCTTCGAGGTTTTACCCCCTTGAATAACATACGCTATTTATAATCCTACCCTAGTAATAAAATAAATTGTTAATACTGATTTATCTGATTTGACATATTTGTATTTTATCCTTTAGATTTCACATTAATGCGAAGAAACACATAGTAAATATTAAGTACGAGATATGTTCCATATGTTCGTGAAAGAATATCGAAATCGCGACACTGGGATAAATATGAAAGCACAATATAATTTAGACACTATTTATTAAAAAGAAACTCAAAGTTTACATATATGTATTGACGTGTACAAGTACGTACATAAAGTTTATAAATAAATATATATTATATAAATATCTCTAGTCGCAGAGAAAGTTTCTGTTGCGGCAGCAAAAATTAATTAAGATGCTAGACACGCTTTAACTAGAAAATTACATTTAGCATTTCCGTAGACATTTTCTCTTTGGTTTAGCGAGACGAGGGTCATCTCAAAATGTTACGTTTGAACTTTTCGTTTAGTTTGTATTTGCCTTAGATATTCTTGATGCGACTATCGTATTGAATCTTATTATATCTACTTCCTCCGACATGTTCGTTGTACCCTTGTCGCACGTTAGCTCCTCTTGCGTCGGCATCAAGTCCTCGGTCATTTGCAAATACATATCCAGAGGACACATAATATCGCAGTTCGGTAATTTAACCTCTTCAACTCTAGACGGTATGCCCAAGTAATGGAGAACCTGCAAATGCGAATCGAGCATTAACAGATAATTTAAATTAATCGTTTTACCACAATTTATTAGCGAGATAAAGATGAAATGAAGGAAATTGAAATCCGAAAGTGACAGAAAGGAAGTATAGTATCGTTTTCCGAAATATACTTTATCCTACGTCCATGTGACCGATTCGCGTGAGCATACGTGCAAGACGTAATCGACGCGAGTGTTATTAAAATTCTTTTAAAATTACTTTCAGGTCCTTACGTGTTGAAGCGATGGAAGGATAAGATGGAAAAAATTACTTCTCTCGCATGTTTTCCGATTGTAATGTTTCTAACTATTAACTCGAATTAATTAAATCGTAAACGATTACTTATCGAGATGTTTAATATTTCGGCATGGAAATAGCGTTCACATACCTTGACGTAAAAATCCCCATTTATTTCATGGAGCTCCATTATCACAGCACTGGAATATGCAGGAACGTGAGGCTTGTAGACATCCAACGCGTGCAAAACTGCAGCAATATTAGTCTCGTGTCCACTGTACAGGTACATCTTTCGCGGATTTTGAGCTGTTCCGGTAATGAGGTTCAGCATGGTTCTCGTGACTAGAAGGAGATACGGTCCTGAAACAGAGATAAATAATACCTTTAACCTATCGTCACAGCAGCCAGTAATGCGAGAAATTGTACTTTTGTAGTTGTTAATATTACGCTTGAAATTTGACTTAATTCGAAATGAAAAAAAAGAAGAACATATAAGCGATACCGTACCCGCGTACAGCTTCTTAAGCGTAGGTGTGGCACTGCCAATATCATAAGCGAATATAGTTGCATTTTTCAATTCGCCATCAGGGAAAATCGAACGCGTCCACGATGGCAAAGGAAGGCCGCGAGAGTATTCGGCCATCAGTGTATGGTAGAGATAGTACATATCCAATGGGGTACTTATGTTCTTTCCTGTCCATGTTGTCAATTGTTGCATAAACCCGTCGAACTTCGACAACGCTGCTCTTCCCTCGGGCGAATTCAAGACTCGGTTGTATTCTGCCAAATAGCTACAAACAAAACGCGCATTCGCATTGACAACACGTAATCGGAGAACGTTATAGAAAGATCTTGTGCAGACCTTCTCCATAGACTCCGCGATTTATTTAAAAATAAGTCTCTTCAACGCTTACCCGGGACAATCGTCGGGCAGGAAGATATTGTCTTCAACGCGAAGCAAGTATCTCGCGGGAACCGGTTGCCAATTCAAACGTGAGTTCCACTTTTGTTCTGTGTTTGGTGGGAAAAGCGCTGCCAGGACGAGTTGCAAGGACATCTTGGTTCTGTCATAATCCGAGCTCAGAGCAGAGACGGACTGCGCTGTATAGAGATCCCCCAAGAAACCTGAGTACATTTCGTTGAGCACCCTTCCCAGTTTGAATTCTCGCAGTTTTCCTTGCTGAAATTTATCAATTACAATCGAATATTATTTCAATATAATTAATATAATATTATATAATTATATAATAATAATATAATATTAATTAATTATTATTAATATATATTAACTACTAATAATATTAATTAATAATAATTATAATAATAATATAATTATATAATATAATATAATATTAATTAAAAATAATATTATTTCAATACAAGCATTTATAGAACGATAACGGTTATTTATAAGAAACACGAGAATAGATGTATACGTTTTATCTATTGCTATCAAACAGGGTGAAAATAATCATCGATATTCATAGATTCGTTTCATCTTTCCACTCTTTCGAACTACACCTGTTCACATTTGACAGGGACGCTTGCAACGCGCATCGTAACGATCGCAGTCGTAAATTATTCTACTCGTAAATTATATAAGAAATTGTGCCGTCTTCTATTCTTCCTCAGTCGATAAAGCTTATTATTATAATTTTATCGAATTGTGCACTAACAATAATTATATAATGACAATCGTATATGACAATTACACATTGTTTGTAGAACTACTCACATTAGTCAGCTGACCTCGACCCTCTGGATAAAAATCGAAATTGATGTAGGGATCGTTTGGATACATTTCGAGGGGAGTATCATCCGGCGCTCTGTCACCGTGTCTGAATATCTGTGGAAAAAACAAGTGGTAAAAGCGCAACGTGTAATTTTCAATTAGACAAGTAATTTGCCTTCCAGGAAAATATTTGAGCGCAAAAAAGAAATGAGACATAAATAACTGCCGTTCTTACCACGTTCACTTGTCTCAGTTCTGCTTGAATGATCGACGCGTATACTGCCAGACCAACGATTGTATAAAGCAACGAGGTGGTTTTGCTATTACCGAACGAAACCATGTTGCTGGTATTCTTCCTGAAATAGGAAATACGTTAAATTGATATTGTTTTCGAAAACAAGATTTCCCTGTTATTAACTGGTTAAGTAAAAGAGTCAGTTTTAATTTATAATATACATTTTACGTGCATTTTATGCATTAGTTTCTTAGTATACTATTTTACGATGATTTCGTAATTACTATCTAACAAAAATCACATTCCCCATAAAAACCGTACTTCCACTCTATTGTAACAGTCTGTGCACATTAAAACGACGAAAAAACCTCGTTTCTATAAGCAGTAAAATATCATTACTGAAAAACTCTGAATCAAAAAATATTGAACTATCAGCAATTTTCCTAATACACATGTA